TGCGTTTTCTAACTTACTGGGGGCGGGGCGTTGATGTTTGTTTGTTTTTTCCAGTCTGTATTTTGCTTCTTGTCCGTGGAGGACGCTGGTGGGGAGATGGTAGTGGAGAAAGCGGGCTCAAGCCCCTCAAAGCCCGTAGGTGACAGGTGCCCTCAGCAGCAGGAGCCACTGGGGCACGTGAAGAAAAGCAAGCAGCAGGTCTCCGACGGATTCACTGTTAAAGCCATGATGAAAAACACTGTGGTATGTTTGCTGCTACTATAGAGGTGATGTTAATTACTTCACTCTCACGTGTCCAGGAAGCATAGCGAGTTAGAGCTGGGGATAAAGCATGTCAGGAAGGTGTGTGAGTTGCTAAAACTTTATCTGGAGTTTGCTGGTTGCTGAAATTACCTTCAGGCTTTACAGAAGTATTATCATAAGGTAACTGTCAGTGCCTGTAGAAACTGTGGTGCTTCGTATATTGCTTTGGTGCCACAATTTTTCTGTATTGTTTTGTATTGGCAATGCACATTCCATTAAACTGTCAGCCTATAGAATTGTGTGCAAGGCTTATTACATCGCATTTAGCAAAATGCTGTCAAATGATACTGTAGTATAATTTTGTGTTTTCATATGCTGGCACAGTGTGGTATAAATTTGATGTGAATGTCACATAGGACGGCAAAGACCTGGAAAATACATTCATTTTTAAAATAAGCTTGAAAAATAATAAAAAGCTTCCACACAGTATAGGAGCAAACCAAACTGGAAACAAACATTAGTTCTCCATCTCATAGTTCAAAGACAAAGAGGAGTTGATCCAGCAAGCTTCACTTTCAGTAACAGTCCTGATTTCTAACGAATTTAGAGGTATGTGAGTGAAAATACTAGGATGAAGGCCTTTCAAATTGCTTTATATTGCTTTATTTGTCTACTTTGGTCAGATTTTAGGAATAAAAAAAGCTTCAGCTAGTACAGAATGCAAATGTTCAACATGTAAGTGGATGAGCTAATATGAGCACACATCTGTGCTTAAACTCCTGAATTGTATTTTTCTTTATTTGGACACAATTCAAGGTGTTAGCAAAGTCTTGTGTTCTCAGGGTTTTTTAATTCTATATATTCTTCTGACAACAGTTATGAAATATGTTACTTCCCTTGTTTTGCTGAAACAGTCTTCCTGGAGCAGTCTCTCTGGACTTTTAATCTGTAAGAGCATCCTCTTAAAAACCCAACAAGTCCATCTTTAAACAAATTTTAAATGGAGTAGAAATTGTGTACATTAAAAACTTTCTCCTTATTAGTAAAACTAAAACATGTTTCACCTTAGTGGGAAGAATATAAGGGAAAAAAAAACAAAAAAACCCTTTGTTTTAAAGATTGGTTGGTTGGTTTGTTTTTAATTCTAGAGATGCGTGTGGAATAGACTATAACACTTCAGCGAGTTTAAGGATTAATTTTTAAAAGACCTTTCCTCTTCTCTGGACAAAATTCAAGTCATGGATATTTGCACAGACTTGTTTACACCTTCATATGTAAAAGACGCTTGATTTCATCTAGAAGAATCAGCAGTTTCAGTGGGGTTTGACAAATATATATTTAATTTTAAAAAAGGAGCTTTGGCTTGTGAATGTAACTAGCTGAGTTTAATCAGAATCTAAATTTTCTTTTAAATATTTATAGAGTTTTCAGTTTTATGGCTGCAACTCTAACTTCCTAAACATTAACAGAATGTTAAATCATGTGGTACTGTCATTAAGCAACAGCAAACAGGTAAATCTGCTGCCTTTGGATGTACTCATTGAATCATAGAAATGATGTTTTTTTGGCATGGACCTCTGGAGATCATCTAACCCAACTTCCCATTTGAAGTGGGCCTGTCACTAGCACTAGATCAGGTCAATCATGGGTTTCCCTAGCTAAGCTGTGAAACCCTCCAACATCAGAGATTCCCTGACCTCTCCGGGCAACCTGTTTCATGGCTGCCCTGCCTGCCTGCCCCTCTGCCTGACCCCTTGGCACCCTGTCAGAGGCAGGGTTAACAGTGTTCTGACCTGCTCCACAGGTTCTGCTCATAACTGGATAGGAAGCAGTGAAACTATCCTGGAAGATTCGTAGTGCCAGGGCTGTGTTTTGTAAAAGCTCTGAGTGGGGACAGGCAGTCACCGGAATCATTTCCCAGGGGTCAGTGTGCAAAAAAATCAGGATAGAGTAAGGAATATCTCACTGCCACTCTGTCTGTGCAGAAGTGGGTGTCCCTTTTCTCTTTTCCAACAACTGATTAAAAGGAGCTTCAGATTTATTAAGTACTCACTTGTCAGAGGTTGACATCATGGATGAAGTTCTTGTGGAAGGCTTAGGAGTTGACTGGTGGGTTGAAAGCACAGCAGGCAAATATGGTTAAGAAATGGTAATTCTTTTTGTTAACAGCATGACAAGGCACAGGGTTGTCAGCAATGTGTTCAGCATCTCCAGGTCAAACAACTAGGTACAGATTAATAGCCTTTGGTGCAAGCATACAGTGGGTCTTAAACTCTTAGCATAGAGTCTAACAGATTACCATTAGGCATATATGACTGTAAATATTGTAGTAAAGGTTCCAGAATTCTTTGATGTTGCTTGTGCAAAGAGCGTTTTACTAAGCCATTTTTCATGAAAGCTGCTGGATAAAGTTTTCTTCTCAAGTCTGCTTTCATAGCCAGTAGTAAGTACAGAAATTAAGTACATACAATATTCAAGACTTTTCTCAGCTCTGGCTAAATCTAAAATTTACTTATTGAAATACATTACTTAATACTAACCAAAAAAATTGTTCCTGAACTGAAGAAAGTGTTTTCTTTTATGTTATTCCAAAACTGTAAATTCATATAGCAGTTTACATTAAGAGCAAGATCCAATAAAGGTCTTCTACACTAACAAGCTAGATACTGTGACATTTACATTTTAATTGTTTTGCCCTCCAAGTGGAATCACGAATGCCATGTTATGTGCTCATACTTCACATGTACTGCTTGGGTAGAATTAGGAATATAATTAAAAATTAATATACAGACTAGCAAGTAGAAAAGTGTCTATACATGAATGTGGACAGCTGGAAGACACCTCTGTTCACTTCTGATCCTCTCCAAATGGTTATTTTTCCTATTTTCTGCAACTGTACATGAGAGAATAAAGTGTTAGTGCCCCCTTTTCTGTAATAAACTAGTGGCAAAAGCACTTTTTCATGAGAGGATTAATTTTATTACTTAAAGGGAGCTGTAGAAAGGGAATTCCAGTCTTTCTTCGAACTTTTAAAAGATTCTTAACCAACAAGTTACAAGATTACTGAGGTGAAAAAGATCGCAGAGGGAAAAGTCTCCACATGTCCTTTCAGAGTGCTGTTGCTGTGCTGCAAAGAGTTAAGATTCACAGGGCTAGAAAGTGGCAAGGTAGAAAACTCACTAGGCTATATTTTAATCCATACATCATTCATGCAGGAGTTTTGGAAGCTTTGGTTTTTGGAATTTTATGTCCATCATTGCTTGCTAGAATGGGTCTGATGTTTTTGGAGTAGAACTGGAACTTAAGACATCCCCTCCTGTGTGCTGAGCCAATAAAGCTATGAAAGGTTGTTCTTTTTCTTTCTGTTTTTCCTGAACCTTGAATTCCTTACTACAAAACGGCAGCGCTTCAGCAGAAAAGAAGGAGTTTATCTTTCTTCTACAGGTCCCCCTTTAGTAACATTATTGCCAGGTAAGTTGAAGTATCCTTCTGCAGCATATGAATTTGAACTCCTGTGGCCAGAGCACTGAATTTGGATTTTCCTCCTGGCTTAGTGTGCAAACTAGTAGGTTTTATATAGAAAATATCACTATTACATCCATCTGTGTTCCATGAAAGCATTCAGAAACTGCTACACAGAATGGGCCACATCCAGCCTTTGTGTAAGGGATAAAGGGAGAATGTGTACTAGATGGCCTTAGAAGGGGAGTGATGCTAAGAATTGTTTTGTTCCTGGATTTCAAAAACGAAAGCAGAGCTATTCACAACCTGGGAGAGTCTTAGCTATGTGCACAAGCACAGCTCCCATCTCCTAAAAGAAGTGTAATTGTTTATAAGCAGAAAAAAAAGGTTATTTAGATTGCAGTTCTGGATTTTCATCCCTCTGTTCCTCATTTAGGAGTCTACAATCTGTATGTATTGGAATGAGTTCTCAATCTTTATTTTTTAAACTCCTCTTTCAAGCCATTGTCAGTAATGTGTGTTGTGAAGGACTTTCCTACCCTTTACCCTTTGATAATAACTCAGAGCAAGGGTTTCGTTTTAACCATAGAGATAATGTGATTTGTTTACATTCTGAAACTTGTGATTTGATATTCTATTTATATTCATCCACATTGTGTAACTAAAACTACTTTTGTTATTTCCCTTGTAGTTGTAACAGTTTCTGATCTGATTTTAAGGCTATAGGAAAGCAATGTTTACAAGAAAAAAGTTTTACCTTTCTATTATAATAGCTTATTTATTGGAAAAGGCAGTATGTTTTGGGGCAAGTAGATGTCAAGTTAAAGGAATGTTTTGGTAAGTGTTTATTGGGCAGTAGTATGTCAATCTTGGAGGAACTCCTCCAGTTTAACAATAGCAATTTTGTACAATCTACGAGTATACTTCACTGAACGCTGTGAGTCAATTTAAACTGTCAGTGCTTTGGAAGGCAGTCCTGTCTTCTTCCTGTTTCAGGCTGTTCATTACTGCTGCCCCTTATTATGCCCACATTTGTACAATGTTGGCTGATCAGGGAACTGATCCTGCTGTTGGGGCAAGTAGATGTCAAGTTAAAGGAATGTTTTGGTAAGTGTTTATTGGGCAGTAGTATGTCAATCTTGGAGGAACTCCTCCAGTTTAACAATAGCAATTTTGTACAATCTACGAGTATACTTCACTGAACGCTGTGAGTCAATTTAAACTGTCAGTGCTTTGGAAGGCAGTCCTGTCTTCTTCCTGTTTCAGGCTGTTCATTACTGCTGCCCCTTATTATGCCCACATTTGTACAATGTTGGCTGATCAGGGAACTGACCTGCTGAAAAATGCTCCAGCCTGTTTAAGCTAACAGTGTCAAACCTGCAGTCTTTGGGATTGAGGCAAGCGAAGCTTCTGCTACCACCAGGCTCCTCTGTCCTGCCCTCCTCCCTGTCCTGACTGCATGCTTCTGTCTCCCCTTTTGCATTTACATGGGTGTCTCTTGCAACTACATAGGAGGTTGGCTCTGCTCTAACAGCTGT